TTTTTTTTTTCCTTTTCTGTTCCATACTGTATAATAAACAATAGTAAAAAAAAAATTCACAGTCCTTCGCAAAGATGCAATAAATCGATAACGAATATCTGCCAAATGTATAGCTAGAAGCCGTTTTGACGTATGCCTTTCTTAACTTGTTATTGTATTTTCTCTACTTCAATGTATATGGATTTGGTGAAAAAATAGAAAAATAAATAAAGAACGCAGAAGTAGGCAAATGAAAATATTTCCTAAGCAACTCGCTCCCTCTTCATCTCTCTATCACGCACAGAACGCAAAAGTATCTCAATATAACCTAAATATCTATCAATCACAGACAGGCACACGTTCCGCACTTCAGATATGCCTAGTTCATGCAAATTATAAATACATTTGAGACGTAGACATTCTATCAACGCCATGCAAGAATGTTCAACTACTTTCATACGTCAAGCCTCAAAAAAATCCTCAACATCAAATGGCAGGATAGGGTCCCAGAGACTGAGGTACTCGCACAGGCATGTCTGTCCACCTTCTTTACCATTTTAATGCATCCCATGCCTCGCTGGGTGGTCGTGGGACATGTGGTGAGAATGTTAGACGACCGCTTGCGCAAAATAATATTTTATGGAGAGCTCAAGAGAGGAGGGAAGTTCGCTGATGGGTAGAGGAAACGCTTTAAAGGCAACCTAAATGCCTCACTGAAAGCGTTCGATATAAGCCCGACACATGCGGAAAACCGGCAAGGGCGGAGCATCGTGGCGATCCTCAAAGGCTCCATACTACATGAAGCCAGCAGAACAGCGGCTAAAGAGCACTAAAGACATGCCAGAAAAGCTCAGGTTAACTCTGCACCTGGAGATGTCCGATCAATTCCCTGAACTTTCTGCACAAGAACGTTTCGTGTCATAATCGGTCTCAGCCACCTGGGCATCCCCAGCCATGTTTAGGACTGCACAAATACGATGATTAAGGTGGTCGTGGGCGTTTTCAACTGACGAGCTATAAATATTAAATCTAATACGCCCATTTCTCGTGCACTTTAAAGTTATCACTTTTAAAAAGTTAAGTTTGTATACTTTTATATAAACTTTAATTTAAAAAATGCTTATATTTCCTCTACATGAAGAGAAAAAAAAACTAACTTAGTTGCAATGGGACTTCACTATTTTTCTATATCCATGAATTCCAATCACCATGGGACGGGGGAGGGTAAGTGAGTGCGTAGGATTAAACATGAAGAAAATATACTTTTTGCCTCTTTAAGGGCTTTGTTTTTATTTTAAATAGTCTGATATTTTTTTAATCCCTTAACGAAAACCATGTTGTTAGATTATTTTAAAAAGGAATGAAATGCATTAAATATATTTATTAATGTTCTCATAAATTACTCTGAGCAAATTTTTTTTTAAAAATTTGATATTCAAATTTCTATTATCTGGCATTCTTTCCGCCGTTTTAAAGTTACTCCATTTAATTATTTGACATTGACAATTAAGTGCATAATTTTTATTGTGGAAAATGGGAGATTTCAAAGAATCTTGTCCGCCTCCTACACCAAAGCCATGCCCACCAAAAGCGTGGTAAGCCTTTATTACCTCACTTTTGGACTGTGGGTGCCAAGAAGACGGAGCCTTTCTCACACGCCCTGTTCTTACATTACAATTACAGTGCATTGCAAAGAAAAAAGCGTTTAACTTAACTAAAATTTTTAAAATTATGCCTTTACAAATATAAACTAAATATATTCTTGTAGGGAATTGAATAATCTAATACGATCTTTAGGAATTAAACTGAAATCACATTTATGCATAATTTATGCCCAAAATTCTGCACTGCAAGAAAGGCATATTTGGTGTTGATTCTAAAAATTAAAAATCAACATTAAATTTAAATATGCCTTAATTGCAGAAACTATTCATGGAGGTGCTATTACAATGGCAAGATGAGTAAGAAATGCGAGAAGAAATCTGATTAGCTTATACAAAGACCAGCCAGCAAGTCTGGACGCTTGGGCAAAGGCTTGTATTATAAGGCCGATAGATCAAACCACGTCTTTTTCACCATTAAACTCTGTGCTGTTAGATCAGCTGAGCCATCTCAAGAGGCTAAAAGAACTTTCTGAAGTGATAATAATTCATATTAGTATTAGTATTGATAGCCTATGGACTATGGGAGGCTTAGGCTTAGTTAAGTAGAACGACCTAGCCATTAAGTAGCAGTTCCGGAAAGGATATTTAAAAATCATGTTTTTCGAGTATGAAGTGCTATTTTATCGGTTATTCTTTTATCAATCCAAATAATGGAATTTTTTTTTTTACATATTTTTTACATATTCATTTCATATTCTTAACAAGTCTACAAAATAATATAATATGTAAACAAACAGAGTTTGAGTTTATCATAGTTTCCTCTAAGGCCCTAAGGTAACTTTAACATCATGATAGGCCCTATTTGGTGTTGGTTTATGACTGAGTAAAACTCAAATAAATCGATGTGAGCTACAAGAATACAACTAATTACTTGTCTGTAAGAAGGAACTATATTGGCAGCCATATTTTAAAAGTACGTTAAATTAGACATTAAAGAAAATTCAATTCATGAGTGTGTAGAGTTTTGAGTGACATGATATAATTAAATTTCTTGAGAAAGTCAGTGGATTTATAGTGAGTTTTGTTGAATTACTATTCCAAATTTCATATTATGTAAATTGAGACATAGTAATAGTACATTTATGAAGCTATTTATGTGCGTTTTAGCTACTTAATGATAAAATTGAAAAACTATGGAAATAATATCACTCTGCCTAACCTGAACGCTAAATGTCCCCAGTGCAAAAATCATCTTCCAACCCAAAAATCTATGACCTAATGTGAACCTAAAAACATGTGTTTCTGTTCTAAAGTTACACACTGTAGTAAGAATATCTTCAATTTGAATAAAAAGATTAAAATCATTTTTAAAATATTCAATATAATGAAAAGCCAACTTACTATTTCTTTGAATACACTTTTACATACTTTATTACAGGTTACATTGAAAATAAAAGTCAAAATCCATTTTTCACACGACACTGGCAAATAATGTAGTTTTCAGATTTTAGAATAATAATCAAGCAATCAACCAAAAGCATTTCATCTGCGTTTGAATATAAAAAAAGAAAATAGTTAACTTTAGTAAAGATGTGACTAAGTGGAGTTCATTCATCCACAGAAACTCAGGTGACGCGTGAATGAGCCCAATTTTCAATTAAAATGTTCTTATTTTGTCTCTTACACCTGCTCCAAACCACTGTTTGAAAGTTTTTACTATCCATAAATCAGACTTGTGACTAATTAATTTGTTATTAAATATTCATCATCACATTTTGACACACACCACCCCCCACCCCCCCCTTTTTTTGTTTTTTTT